ATTTAGAATTTAAGAGCTATGTATAGTCTAAATCTTGATTTATCGAAAATTCCAAATTTTGGGTCTTATCGCTATACATTAAAATGTTTGACGAAAAATTCTGTAATTTATGGAAGAGCTAGTCAAGTATCTTAATGTAATTTGATTTCAAAATTCAGATTTAGCCTGAGTTTTAGTTCTGATACTTGTTCCGAAACGGCCTCGCGCTATAACGGACCCAACCGCGGATATCTAAAACCATCTATACTTCAATTTTTCTGGTTCTAACGATTTAATATGTTAATTTGGGTGTATACTCAATCTCAAATTTACTGGGTCTAAATTTTAAGGGATTTTCCCTCATAGAAACAATTTCGGCATCTAAAAAAGAGAAAGAAAAATTGAAATTTAAAGTTGAAAGGGTTTTTGTTTAGCAGCAAATGTAACAAGGTTTTGCTGTTTCATGCAGTCAGTCAAATCGAACTGAATATCAGTCAGTTTCAGACTTCAAAATAACTTTGTGTATGTAGATACTTTCGTCATCGCTATAATCGTAAATTTTATTAATATATATATAGTTAATCTTCATATAAGAAACTAACTTAAGATAAAGTTGGTTATATCAGGTCATCTTATAGAGAATCCTAGATGCTGTAGGGTGATAATGAAAGCATTTAAGATGATTAGACAGGTAAATATCTTTTGGTATTTGGCGTCTTACAGTAATATTTTCTCACTTATTTACTAGATTAAGAATTATTTCAATATTTTCTGTTGTTTAAAGTTACTTCTACTGTTTATAGTTTCTGTTTAAAATTCCTTCGACTCTCCCTAATAATGAAACATCCTTTTGAAATAATATACATATATTGCTAATACTTTAATATAACTTACATTTGCTCTATTTGCCGGTGTTGTTCTTTTTTCCAACAGCTTTTTCAAAAACAGTTTTACCTGTAATTGCCTTAATGTGTTTATCAATTGAGCGAACAGCAATAGGCCAAGTTTTATATGTTTTCAAGCTTTCTTTATATTTTTCATCAACAATGTACATTATAAATTCATAAACAAAATGAAGGCTTTTGAAATTTTTCTGCATAATACTTCCAAAAGAAAAAGTATAGTAAGCATTTTTGATGATCTGATCCAAACTGAGTCCTCGTGTAAATAACTGTTAAAGTTAAATGAATTTTATGTTTTTGGGATTATCAACAAATCGAAGAGACCAGATAGTCAAAAATAAATGCTTGTTTCTCTGTTATATGGCTCCGTATCTCTGCCCACATTTTTTTAGTTAATTTTTAGTTAACCATCATATTAATCTGCCTATATAGCTCAGTTTTTTATATATGACAAAGTTATAAGTAAAAAAATTTTACAGATGAATGTATCAATCCAAATTTAAAGCTTTGTTTCTCATCCGCGGATTTAAAGCTATTCATTTCATTCAGCATATTTTTTGCATACCCTCCGTCAAATATTAAATGTAATTGATTATTGTCATCTGCTATGACAAAGTAACTTTTTTCTGTTTTGCTATTGAAAAAGATCAAGCCATTCGGTGTTTGATGAACTAAATTAATAATGTGCAATTAGCTGGGGTAATGACACAGTAAATCATCATTCACATAATTTGTATCATATCAATACAAATGTCCCAACAAAGTCACCCATAGATATGTCAACAGGTTCAAAAATAAAACTTTTCCTATTATTAGTTATCAAACATTAGGAGTTTAATCGCCAAAAGATAAGCCTTATTAACTAAAGTATTTATTACGGATTGAAGGAAGAATTTTACTATAATTTGAACATTATACAAAAAATAATTTCGACATGATGAGACTTTGGTTCGTATACTTTCGGTCGCATAGCACGATCAAAGGGTAAACAATAACAATCCCTGTTTAAGCAAAAATTGTAGTAATCTATGATTAAGCATTTAACACTCACAAAAAAAACAAAATAAAACATTAATAAAAACCTACGTCTAAATTCTTCCGTTTCTTTATATTTAAATATAATCATCGCGTGGCCAAATAAAGGCTCAAATATATCACGATTCGAAAAGTAATAAGGTGACAAATCATAATTCTGTGTGGATCCGTTGCGATCTTTGTATTCAATCTGCCCATCTTCAATGCCTAAAAGTAATAGAAATTCTGGCTCTATCTGAAAGGAGGTGCGGCATCATATTTTTTCCTCCTTCCTTAAACAACCTTTCATTTTTCCTTAATATGGAAAAATGGTCAGCCTTTTTTCCTTCCTTATTTTACTAAAATTCCTTGTGGCATATTATATGAAAATGGTATGAAAATTATTGAATCGTGTCATGCTAACTACGGAACAGACAAGACACGGATCATACCAAAACTCGGAACAGACAAAACGCCGTCTTACCAAATCAAGGAACGACCAAATAACAGAGCGACCATAACACGGAATGACCAAAAACTGACCGAAGATCTGGTCTGTGATCTGGTAAGACGGTGACTTGTCCGACCTTTTTGTCGTTCCATCACCTGTCTGTTCCGTCCTGACAATGGCAATGAGAAAAAATTAATCCTTTCCTTATTAATGTCTCTCATTTGAATATGCCACAGGGAAAATTAAGAGCGTGGAAAAGACTGACCATTTTTTCATATTAAGGAAAAATGAAAGGTTGTTTAAGGAAGGAAGAAAAAATATGATCCCGCACCTCCTTTCAGATAGTGCCGAAATTCTGACAAGCCTAATCAATTCGTATTTAATTTATAAATGTTGTATATACACTTATCGCAAAGGATGGTGAAAGTCGCAAATATGCGCATATATGCACCGAAAAACACAAAATATGGAACAAAAAATGTAGATTACTTAAGATATGCACTTCTTATGCAAAATAATTGACTAGATGTTACATATGTATTACAAAAAGTTCAATTTAAGAAATTGAATGTACATTAAGTTAATTTTAATGTTGAGATTACTGTATCGGTTAGATACTGACGCTAGTACCGCAATAGTTCATACTACTAACAGTATTACCTAGGGCTAAACTATTGATCCAAAAATGGTTATTGTTTTTCATAATCGTCTAATTTGGAAACTGATATAGAAAAGCTTAAAAGTTCGGGATAGATAAATGAGGTTATAACTTAGTTGTAATCATAGTATATTTAAAAAATTTACATTTGGCATTTTTAAAGCCATGAAGGCTTAAGATGTCTTCAGTTTTATGAATTGAACTTTTTTTAAAAATTTTCTTTTCACCAGCAAGAGTTATAATTTCCCAATCTTTCAGAACAAGTACTAAATTTTCATCATCTATAATTTCGAAAAAATTATACGAATATAAATTAAGGTTTTAGAATAATGTTGGACTCTAATGCCCTTTCCCAGGAAATGAGCCTGGAAGGACTTTGTTCAATTATAATTTTTTCCTTTCACATAATCTCAACCAATTTACTAGCTTAATGTCCCTCCCACTTGTATGTTTATTTAAGTGATTTGATCAGAGTTATATACGGTTCACTTGTTAGCTTCTCACTTTTATTCCTTTATTATGTATTAGCTAACATTATATTATTGTTCGTATTTTACTAGTTTATTGAATAAAAGCGCTTTTATCACTTTGGTGTGTTTCGGTGTTAGGGAAGTTACTGAGGGACTTGATCAACCCCGAAGGTCTTCTACGATTGTCCCGATCACACTCTCCCCTTGTATCCTATAAAAATACAAGGGGAGAAAACTGGGAAGGGCCCACCGCTTCGGCGCATAGTTAAATTGGAAGAAGGGTTCTATTTTACTATAATTTAAAAAATTTAAACCAAAATTGCTATGAAGGATGGAACAATTAAATTTATAAAAATTACATTGTACTGCATCAATTTCAATTTCGTATTGTTTGGCATTAACTGAATCAAGTTTTTTGAATGCATCACCGACAATCATTGGCATGTTAATTCGATCAACTTGATGACTATTACCGCTAGAGGTTCCTGCTCCATGATGATTTCGGGTTCCTTTAGAACCTCCTGTCCTTCGCATTCCAATTGCATATTCAATGCAAATTAAAGAAAAAATCAAAGAGAAAAACATTCTTTTTTTAAAGAATGAATTTAAAAGCTTTAAGAAAATCATCTGGAAAATTTGGATATATTATACGTTAACGGTAAATCAGTCAAAACAAATCAAGGATGTTGTCTATTTTATATTTATATAAATTTAGGAGAATTAAAAAAAATTTAAAAAGTAATTTAAAATGAGTGTTGCTAGGTATTCAATGCTTATTTATAAGGTCCCAATGACTGCCCATTGCTATCACTAGGAAACAAGACAAACAATAATTGCCTAGCATAGGCATTTCCAATAGCAGAGCGAGTGCGCTAGTAGCACTAGGTAAAGCGTCGACTGTCGCTCTTCTTAGCGATTATTGAAAATTCATATGTATAAAGCGGCGCTCTCTTCGCTAAAAAAACATTAGGCAAGCGGCCATCTCGATTCTTGCTTCACGTTAGTTGTTGCTTAATTAAATGCCTTGCAAAATCATGTGTATGGTCTCGAGATATTTAAAAGAACTGGGACGCCTATCTATCTCATGGGATGCCTATATGAAGATTCATGGGACGCCTATTCTAGTTGTGGCTCGTTTATACTTTGCTGGGACGCTTAAAATTTCATGGGACGCATAAAAACTCATGGGGCGCATGTTGTGAGTCAATCAATTAAATAAAGCAATTTAAATTTAATTTGCCCTTTCTATTTAATAAAACAAAATTTAAATTTAAAACATAAAACCTTTATCGTAATTTAGCCTAATGTTTGTTATTGAAATGTAATGGACATTATTTTGTTAATAGAGGTTCATTACATTGAGGTTCCTCACTACTTTTGGCGTATATCGGATAAGAGTAAGCTTGGCTTTTAATGCCCTGGACCAATAATAATTCAAATCGTGTTTTTCCCCAGTATCGAACTAACACAAAAAAATTTATTTTAAAATAACTAATAAATCTAATCATAATCCTGCCAAAACATTATCAATTATAGGCAGGAATGTTATCAAATCCTGGTCGGATAAACATATGTTGAGCTCTTTTTGCTTCAGGCGTTTCTACAACTTTCTCCAATGGATGCTCGGCTTCTCCAAGTAGATGTCGAGCATCTCCTGTACGTGTGTCTATGGGAATAGGCATTGGAATATCAATTTCTTCGAGTGGATCGCTTGTCAAGGGCCTGAAAATTTGGAATAATTTTGAGGAATTTTAGACAGGAGTATTGGACAAAAATGGGCCGACTCGGTCCGCAAGGTCTGGTCATTCATAAGATAACTGGACTTAAAGTGACTCACATGGCTTGGACTGAGGCCCAAATTGACTTCGGCCTATCTCGCAAACTTAGACCCTAATACTCTAATTAAAAGTTTTCTCCAATAATTCTATAAATTTTATTCTCCGTATAATATAAAACATGACAAGGAAATTATGTATTCTAAACTCAAAATTCATTTTAAAATCTTTCAGTTCCTTCTTATTCTATTGGGTTATACGAAGCAACATGTTCAGACCGAGCCCTAAAATATAAGCATATAATAAGAGTACGGTAAAGTTTGGCTTCGAGCGGGCATCGATCCTGCACCACCCTCACAATCATTTCTAGGTCTTTTAGACTCTAAATAGCCATGCTAAGTTGCTCTACCGACTGAGCTTTACATTAGAATTAACTCTACTTTTAAGTGCCTGGCCTTATTATGGTTCAGAATTTTTCTAAAATACCCGAGTAAGGTCCTTTTTTAATTTAAAAATTTATTCCGAACCTATAAAACGCATGTTGTGCCCTTTGCGGACTCTCGGAACGACGGCTGAGTACAGTAGCCAAGGATTGACGTGAACCTCTAAGTTCTCTCTCAACAGCCTGGACTGGGATCGGGGCAGGAATATCCATCTCTTCAACTGGAGATGGTAAGATTTTTGGGGACGGTGAAGGCTTTGGAGTTGGTTTCTTCGGTGGTGTTTTTGTAGGTGTTGGTTTGCGTTCTTCAATTATTGGTTGAGGGCGAGGGGCTTAATATTAATAATATTTTTAAATGTAACTTTCAGATTTATGATCCTAGTCACATTTATGATTATTAATTTATCCAAGTTTAGTTCCTTCTATAAATTTTTCCTATGAGTTCAACAAAGCTAGACCATTATTAACGAGTTTTAACATTATAGGGGAGTCTTATAGCAGGAGAGAGAGGGGGAATGATGAACGGAAGTATAGTAAAACCTATTTTAAAACATATAAAGTCATTTATGATTGAGAGATGGTTACTACATGTTATAGAGGATACATGCTTTTGACTAATATTTATTAACCATAAAATAGTTGCGGGTAGTTGGTATCAGTCTTAATAAATCCAAGCTTAAGCTAGAGCCTCCATTTGACAGCTGGAGCCTTCATTTGACACTCACGGGCTGAAGGATAGGGGGTATATCCTCTAAGGGGTTATATTAAAATAAGCGGTCTAATATTGAGTCAATCTAAGGTTATTTTATGTTTCACATCTTATATTTGTTAAATCAGAGTTTAGAAAGTATTATTCTTTATCAGTGAAGTGAATGATATAATGCGATAAAAAAGTGAAAATAAAAGACTAATGAACATATTAGTGAGGAAAATAAAAGTTTGAAAAATCTAGATCGGCAAGTATTGTTTAAAAACGGCAAATCAAGTTAAAAAAGTGAATAAAATGGCAAGTGCTTTGGTTGGCAGTAGTAAGGAAAATATTAGAAGAAAACAGGGTTGATCAGGTCAAAAAATTAAATTTTAAAAATATTTTTTAAAGTCAAATTCTTCGAGAATCCAGGCTTCCTCGCCGTTCTCCGCCAGTTTTTTCAACCTGTTCAATTTCTTCGTGGAATTCCTCCTCAAAAGTTTCCTCCTCGTGGAAGGATCGACGGAAAGGTCCACCACGCTAATAAATAAATAATTTTTTGTTAGAAATATTCTCTCAAACTTATTCATCAACAAGTAACTCTATTACGGTAAGTCTACTATAAGATAGCTCCCTTTGCCCGAAGATTATTATTCCAGAATGTCTGTACCAGGGATCTTTTTGCCCCAGTTTCCCGAAGATTGTTAACTACCAAAGTTTCTTTGGATCGGGAATTCATGATTCCCATAATTTGGGAAATAAAATTTCCTCTGGAATTCCCGATCATGCAAATTGGGAATTTATCTTTTACGTCGACAGGATCCCTGGTTTTGGGGGATGGTGAAGGCTTTGGAGTTGGTTTCTTCGGTGGTGCTTTTGTAGGTGTTGGTTTACGTTCTTCAATTATTGGTTGTGGGCGAGGGGCTTAATATTAATAACGTTTTTAAATGTAACTTTCAGATTTATGATCCTAGTCACATTTATGATTATTAATTTATCCAAGTTTAGTTCCTTCTATAAATTTTTCCTATGAGTTCAACAAAGCTAGACCATTATTAACGAGTTTTAACATTATAGGGGAGTCTTATAGCAGGAGAGAGAGGGGGAATGATGAACGGAAGTATAGTAAAACCTATTTTAAAACATATAAAGTCATTTATGATTGAGAGATGGTTACTACATGTTATAGAGGATACATGCTTTTGACTAATATTTATTAACCATAAAATAGTTGCGGGTAGTTGGTATCAGTCTTAATAAATCCAAGCTTAAGCTAGAGCCTCCATTTGACAGCTGGAGCCTTCATTTGACACTCACGGGCTGAAGGATAGGGGGTATATCCTCTAAGGGGTTATATTAAAATAAGCGGTCTAATATTGAGTCAATCTAAGGTTATTTTATGTTTCACATCTTATATTTGTTAAATCAGAGTTTAGAAAGTATTATTCTTTATCAGTGAAGTGAATGATATAATGCGATAAAAAAGTGAAAATAAAAGACTAATGAACATATTAGTGAGGAAAATAAAAGTTTGAAAAATCTAGATCGGCAAGTATTGTTTAAAAACGGCAAATCAAGTTAAAAAAGTGAATAAAATGGCAAGTGCTTTGGTTGGCAGTAGTAAGGAAAATATTAGAAGAAAACAGGGTTGATCAGGTCAAAAAATTAAATTTTAAAAATATTTTTTAAAGTCAAATTCTTCGAGAATCCAAGCTTCCTCGCCGTTCTCCGCCAGTTTTTTCAACCTGCTCGATTTCTTCATGGAATTCCTCCTCAAAAGTTTCCTCCTCGTGGAAGGATCGTCGGAAAGGTCCACCACGCTAAATTTTTTGTTAAAAATATTTCTCACAAAGTTATTCATCATAAAATATTCTCATTACTGTAAGTCTAGTATAAGATACCTCCCTTTGCCCGAAGATTATTATTCCAGAATGTCTGTACCAGGGATCTTTTTGCCCCAGTTTCCCGAAAATAGTGAATTACCGAAGTTTCTTTGGATCGGGAATTTACAATTCCCAAAATTGGGAAATAAAATTTCATCGGGAATTCCCGATCATCGAAATTGTGAGTTTATCTTCTATGTCGACAGGATCCCTGGTTTGTATCCTAAACTGTGGTTATCGTCCATGCACCTCCTATGTTATTCTCCTCCACCTCCTATCTCTATCACCTTATGACCACCAAATTTAAAAACATTTTTTAACTTGTGAATGTCTTTAGTTGGGGTATCTTATAGTTAGATCACACAGCATATCAACTTACCTGTCCACTTTCAACAGTCCTCACCTCCTCAGTCTTCCGCCCTCCATTAGGCATTTCGGCATAGCTTACTCGATCACTTTAAAATTTTATTTAAATTTCCCAAGTAATTTTAGAATAACCGGAAGAATCGATCTCTATCGGCATCCCTATCAATTTCGCCATAATCAGCACCACCTCGATATCCATCTCCATAGGGTCGTGTTCCTCTCGAGCGACGAGTTGTGGAGGCTAAATAATTTTTTGTTAATTTCACAACATATGGGTTAACTTGTTATTTTTTTGAATGAGTTAATTAGAGACGGACTGGGAGTGTCTTATGAGAATTGAGTTTGATATCTCAGAAAATCTCGATTTATTGAAAAATCTTGCTTTAGAAAAATCTCGATAAGGCTTAACAAATGATTGAGTGTATGGAGATTGATATCTCAAAAATTTCTGTGACCGAGATTTTTGTTCGAGATCCCATTTCGGTCCTTCTCTAATCTATTGATGACTGATTATTAATTAAATTGTTAAAAATAAATTCAAAATCAGTGCTTTTTAGGGGTAAATGTTAAATGTGCTTTAAATTATGTGACTGAGAGAATACCGTATTCCTCTAAAATAATGCCTCTAAAGGGCTTTTCAAATTGTTTTAGAGGACTTAAGTAGACTTATCAAATCAAAAATTAAAAAAATTTAAATTTAAAAAATTAATTACATCTTTTGCCGGTTTCCTTCACTCCACCTTTGCGTTTGGCACAGCACAATTTGTAAAGTAGGTAGAGCAAAGCCTAATTTTAATTAAAAATTTTTAATTTTAAAAATAATTCCATACAAGAAGTAAAAGTAATGCAAGAAGCAAAAGGAGAATAAGCAGCCATAAAGGTATAGGGGCAGCGGCCGCTGCAGGTATGCAACACGCACGACCACAACAAGACAAATGCGCATCACATCTTTAATAATTTTTATTTTATTTTTTAATTAAAAATTTAGATTAGAAAAAAAGTTTGAAATTTATAAATAAAATAATAAATTTTTTGGGGACAAATTTAAAAATATAGGGTTCACTTTTAGAGGATAATGCTGTTAATTTTAAGTGTCGAATAAAGGGACAAGTAAAATACATATTCTAATAAGTCGGACTTCTAGTAATTAAATGAGGGTATCGCTTAGAGGGCTCATTCAACGCCAACCTAATTTTAAAAGAGTATCTAAATTAGAGGGTGTATATCAGGGATGTCACGGGTACCCGAAACCCGATACCCGCCTTTTTTCGACCCGATACCCGACCCGAGAAATTTTCTAAAACCCGACCCGAAACCCGACACGACATTTTTCTCAACCCGTGACATCCCTGGTGTATATAAATTTTGAGATAAATCAGATGTCAAACTTTATGCCGGGTATAGCCAGATTCGAACATAAATCTTGGTCATTTCGGAATAGAGATTTTTCAAGATATTGATCTCAATTCTTGTAATAACCCTTCCCCAGTCCAATATCTATTTGATATGTATTTATATAGAAAATATTTAAAATCACAAAATAAAAATAATTTAAAAAAAATAAATATTTATTCAGATTGACCTATATTCGTAGCGCTCATTACGGCCTTGAACATCAGCCTCCTCATAAATGCACTGCCTAAAATCGCCCGAGTAGGGCTCATAATAAATTCCAGTGGAATCTCTTTGAGCCAATAAATCGGTCATTACTTGAATTGGAATTGGTGGGAAATTAAAAATTTTTTAAGGGGGAAAATTAAATTAAAAAAAAATTTTTTTAAGAAAAAATAGTAAAATTGTCTATATAAAACAAGAGGAAAATAAAATCGCGCAAAAATTCAATTTCCATTAACCACACTAATTTAGAAAAAAAATAGTAAGAAAGGAACTCTACTAATTTAAAAGAATGTTTGGGCAAGTTTCTTTTGTTTGCTTTACTAGCCCTCTCAAAAACTTTCCGACTAATAATTAATGAAAGTTGAAAAAAGGGAAAAAATAATTTTAAAAATAAAAATAATTATTAAAGGAAAAATTTTCTGCTTAAAGTCAAGGTTAAATCCCGAGAAGATTAATCAGTTTTAGCAAGTCTAGAAATAACTTTCTTGTTAATAAAATATCCAAATTAAACAGATTTAATAATAAATTTAAAAAAATATACAGGATAAAGCTGACTTATTCGGGTAAATCCCCAGATATCCGATCCAACATCGAACATAATTTAAACTTGCCTTAAATACAGAAAGCTTTTGTCCTCAGGGAGTGGTTGACGGATCCTGAAAGATTTCCTCATCTCCTAATCCAATATGCGAACCTAAAATTTTCGGGTATCCAGAATATCTCCTGGGTGTCTCACATCCTTTATCTCCGATTGTTACAGAAACTATTTATTAAATATGAATCATATCACTCTCCTGGATAGGGTTGGTGGAAAACCGGAAACTCCCCTAGATCCTTAAAAATTACCCCGATCCTTGGAAACATATCTGATCCTGGGAACTCTGGATCCGATAATTCTTTTCTTAGGAAACAAAAATTAAATTAAAAAACAATTTAGTAAGGTATGCACTTTAACGTAAAAAAATAAAACATTTCCGGCCGGTGTGTGTTTTCATCCTTGTATACATTTTAAAAATGTTCCTCTTTTTCCTGCCAGCCGATTCTATATAAATTGAATGTATTTTTTATTAGGGCTGGTTGAGTCCCTCGCTGATCACCCTTTCAATAATTTTGTAATTCTACTCAAAAGGCTCCTTTCCTCGTTTATTTTTTGTTGACTAGGCTTTTTTAAGTGTTATTTTTCTTATTGACAGATGAGAATGTATAAAAATAGTACAAACAAAAAACTGGTTATTTTCTGCGCTTCTCTGTCCTATTTTATATTATATTCGTAATGTTTCAATAAATAGGTGTATGATTGAAAATATAATTAAATTAATAGTATGATAAAGCGATATTAGGATTTCAACCATTGAAGGATATGGCTTCGGGCTAGGTTCCAGCTAGGTATAGTTTCGAGATGGGTATGGCTTCGGGAGCTAGCTCACTTGTCGGATCCGTTACCTTTTCATGAACCCTGGAAATATAAATAATATACCGTATTTTTCTGATTGAATGCACGGACATTCTATTTCTCAATCATATCCATAGAGTCATTCGAGATCATTATTCCGAATCCCGATCTCGGTCAACCCAAATTACACAGTCTAATTGGACGGGATCGCGATCATTATCCCAAAACAACAATCGCGATTTTATGTCTGATCCCGACCACGCCCAACTCTAGCCTTGATAACGGGTTATTTTCGGTCTCATTATAACGGTCTCATTATTCCAAATCCCGATCCCGAATCCCGACCACCATTTTCTTGGTATAGGACTGTCGATTTTGAGTCTTTAGATATCCAGAGCTGAACCGATAAATCCTCGGTTCCCCGTTTCGAGCTTTTATTCTAATTTTTAAATTAGGTAACCATATATTTTTTAAAAAATCTTTATATATTTTTTAATTAATTGAGAATCAAGTAGTAAGACCAATAGCAAATATTCATAATTATAAAAGCAATAGGAAATATTATTCTTGATTTTTGATCAATTTTATTTGCCATCTCTCGGCCTCTTAACTGGCCTATTGTTCTTTTTAGAAAGTGCGCACGGGTGTGGAGCTGTAATTGAATTTATAGATATTATTTGGAGTCCTCTGAATCCTATTAAGCCACTTTTCGGTTCCGGCAAACTCTAACTATGTCACTTAATGAGTTAGAGTTGACTAATTTTGCTTAATGAGTCAAATTGGCTCTCAATTTTTTATTTTATCAGAAGAAGCCAATCGGATCAAAGCCCATCCTCAATCACATACCAGGATGAAACCGAAACTGAATTTTTCGGATTAAAGTTCCGAGATATAGTCAGGGGTTAGCGCAAGTGGCAATTATGAAAACGCAACGCAAGGCATCCCCTGGTATATGCGCTCATCCCTGGTTATAATTATCAGTTTCGGTCTTCTGGTTTCGGTTTCCTGTTTTGTATATTATGTTACATTCCCGCCTTGTAGACTTCTTAATTCCTTCCTAATTAATCTCTACATTAAAACCCGTCTCAGATACATATGACTTTCCTTTTGGGTCATTCTGATATCGAATAATATTAATATTTTCCTGGGACGATTACAGTAGAGTGAGAGAATATTAAATTTTTCATAAAATTCACCTGATTTCTTATTATTCTTGCTGAGTCTCTAAATGAATTTTTCCTTCTTACCCTCTGAATAATTTTTTGCTCGGGTTCAATACAAAAATGTTCAGGGAGTGATCTGAATTGAATTTGGAAATTTAATCCGAAACAAGCTTCTAGTCTACCTCGATATCCTTTTTAGTCGAGGATCCTCAAAATTAAACATATTCACGCTTAAATGGTTTTTGCCGCTATTTTGGCGTTCAAGAGTAGTTTTTGAGCTTACTTCTGAATCCACATCTTTTTAATTAAATTCAAAAATTTTAAGTTTATTGTGGCCAAATTCACCTTCTCTCCCTCCAAGATCTGAATCGAACCTTTGTTGAGTGCTTTGCTGATTTTTAAGTTTTTTGCTACTATTGCGTGATACCTCGTTCTTGTGGCTTACGCTTCCGTTAGATAAGACTCCACAAACTTTTTTACGCCAATGCCTGAAATTATATTTTAAATCATGTTAGTGATTTGCTCCCTTATGTGAATCTGTGACAAATCACTTCTTAAATTCCCATCGAATTTGATTTAATATGACCTGTAGGGTTCTACGGAGAATCGGTAATTAGTCACCTCACCCTTTTAGTCACCTCTCCATTTACAGTATCCTTTCTCCACAGGGTGATCATCGAGCCATAATTACCCAATTATTCAGTTATCTTATGTCTGACTATAATGGTATATTCCTGGAAAATATTATGATATCCCAGCCGAAAATTCATCGTTTCCTTGGTTCGGTTGGTTCCGAAAATAACTTTATCCATGACCATCTCAATATCCGTTTTTCATTAAGTACCTATGCATCTGTTCACTAGTCAAAATCCCTTTCTCTATCTGTCCATTATTTAGAGGGGAGGTCGTGTTGATCAACAAGGGATTAAATTGACCAATATCGTTGTTATTAACAATATCCTCTTCATTATTAACTCCATTTCCGGGAGAAGCAGAAAATGCATTTGCTGCATTGAATATTGACTGTAAAGTTTCTGAGTCAACTACGAGCGGTGGTTGTTGATTGGAAGATGATTGAAAAATCTGAGGTAGTTCTTGGTTCTTGGCAAAATGAGCAATAGTATATTCAACCATTACAGCTGAGATAAAATAATAAAATTTATTATTCCTTTAAATTTATCCTTATCAAACTTCTGGGCTGAAATTAACCCGTAAAAACTGGTTTTCTAAGTAATACCCAGCTCAAAGATATCTGGCCCTGAAATCCTGGGAGGGCGTCCTGCGTGGGCCCTTGATTATTATGTAGACGGTTCTTATTCTTAGGCGTGAAACTATAATATTTGATTACCAAAAACAAAAGCCAGGCACAATCCCATCCATGAATCTATTGCCTTCATATATGAGACTTCTGGCAACGCAAGTTTTACAGCGTTTGCTTGTGTCTCGATAGTAAGAAGTGTTGTAATTGACAGAGTTACACGAGCGGGGGCTGTATCTATATCTAGCCAGAAGTTGAACCTGAATTTGAATGTTAACGAGAGTCCAATTAACCTCGAATATCTCACAAGCTCTCTATCTCAAAGGCCAACTACCTTCCAGGCTCTCTCTCATTCTCTCAAAGCTCAATCATCTCCCAATCTCTTAAGGGCTTAACTATCTTTCAACCTCTTAACGCTTAACTATCTCTCAAGCTCCCAATGCTCAATATCTTTCAATCTCTCAACGGCTTAACTATCTTTCAATCTCTCAAGGCTCAACTATCTCTCAAACTCTCAAGGCTCAACTATCTCTCAAACTCTCAAGGCTCAACTATCTCTCAATCTCTCAAGACACAACTATCTCTCAATCCCTCAAGGGCCATCTATCTCTTAATCTCTCAAGGGCTAACTATCTCACAATCTCTCAAACCTATCTCTCAAAGCTAATATATCCCTCAATCTGACTTAATCTCTCAAAGCCCAACTATCTCTCAATCTATTTCTCAAAACTCAAGTCTCTCACTTATCTCCTTAAAAATTTCAATAAATATTCACCATGATATAACGACAATTAAGGAAGTAGGCACATATGTCTGAATTATATGATGGAGCATTTCTCGTTCAACTGTTTCAATTTAACTTATTAAAATTTTGTTTTGGTCAAAATTATTTACCATAAAATACTGCAGTCATGCAGCTCCAAACCCCTAGGATTTCAGAAAAAAATTTTTTAAATTTATTTATCAGTATACCTATAGCATAAGTTCCGTTACATTCGCCCATCCTATAAGGAATATTTAATTATAATGCTAGGAACTTTTGAGGGATTTTTAAATTTAGAACCTGATATCAACTAAGCGCATGTCTGAATAATTAAAAATTATGATAATTTTTCAAATTTAATAGTTAAGATACCTGGCATTTTTATGTCAGGATTCCTATCAATAGGAGGTTTTATTTTCTTGGACCTTAAAAATTTCTTTAAAAATTTCATATAAAAATAAAGCTATTAACGATAATGTCAGTCGAATCTCACTTTAAGATTCATTATTGTTGCAAAAATGGGGTCTTGTAATGAGGGGTTTTAATGAGAAACATGAGGGTCAACTTCCCCTGACTCAGGGTCAACCAGCTAGCCCTGGTCCTGGGTCAATCAACTTAAAAACGAATCTTATAAATGGAGTTGTTTCCTTTATGGGTATTTCTAAATTAGATGACATAATAAAGCGTCTACCCTTCCCTCTACTACCCGGGGTTACCGTATCTTAAATTGAGGTCTCTCTTTTATTGGGTAAATTTTATTACGAGATCCGACTGTTTATTATCGAATTAGCTCACCATCTAAGCCTCAAATGAGATTCAGGATACGCATAGCTAAGTATCCTAAGTTCACAAGTCTGCGAATCCAGTGGATATTTCCATAAATTCATCATGCATATAGCAACAAGAGAAATTCTTAAATCATACCAAACCCTTTAGTTTGTAAATTTTATTATTTTAAATTTCCAAAAATCTCCACCTTCCATTGGGAAATATCCAAACATAAAAATTTGGTTCGGTTATTGACTGGAATGAGGCTTGTCGAGCATTTGCAAAATATATATCGGGACGCCAAATTTTCTGAAAATATTTTGGAAAATTTTTAAATTTTTGTTATAAGCTTTAAAGGGATAAGTTATAGAGGAGCAAGATGGTGCCTATGGGGGAACTGTCCAGAGTGACTGTCCAGAGAGGGCGTTTGTCTGTGAAAGAGAGATGTGCCTTTCTAAGTGTTAGAGGCTATTCTAGGGGTATTTTTTATAGAAAGAGGGACGTTCGGAAGAGCTAGGAGGGACGCCTGAAGGGGTAAGCTCCAAGGTGTGATATGCTAGAGGAATCTTAAACGGATACTAAAAAACTTTATACTAAAAAGTTTAAAGGTCTGTCCTGAAAAGCAAGTCTTTTATCATTAAAATTTAAATTATTACGTTAAATATCTCTTTATCTCTGATGAGTAGAGGACCTGATCCATTATGCTTTAAACGTTCATCTCTCCATTCCTTTAGTTATAAAATTTTTGAAATTTTCCGAAAATTACTTGATACATATAAACATCAAGTTGATAATCCATTGTTTGTGCACTGAAGCTAGAAATGCCTTCAATGAACATTGACATTGATACGTTTGTTGCTAGTCCTGTTAAGCGCATTTAAAATTATTTTTTGGACAATTACATATGTATGCTTTCGTTTTTTATATACAATTGTTCTAAAATAGGGGATAAGTGATGAGTGACTCTTGGAATCACACAATCACACTGAGATTAAGGTCTTATTCAATCGTTTATTCCCTATGGAATAATCAGCTAAATTAAAAAAAGGATTGTCTGTAGTAAATGAGGGAATGCATGGTAATTGAAGGTTAAGTGCCCCTTGAGATCACTCAATCACTCTTGAAATTGAAATTAATTAGCATCCCTCAGCCAGTGGTTAACAAACTAAAAAATCTTTTATAGAATCCGAAATATCATAGGGTAACTGTCAGCAAGTGTTGACCGTTGAATGGATATAGGAGTGGATAAGTGATGAGCAGTGATGTCAAAGTTCCAGTTCCAGTTCCGGAACTAATTAGTTCTAGTTCCAGTTCCGGAACTAGAACTACGGAACTAGTAAATGCCTGGAACTAGCTTGGAACTGGAACTACGGAACTAGTAAATGTCTGGAACTAGCTTTGGAATTAGTTCTGGAACTAGTTCTTGGGGGTATATTTTTGACAAAATTTCCTCGAAAATTACCTGCAGCGCGCTGTGGTATGGAAGAAATCTGACTACTTGAGCTCCAAAATTCTAAAAATTTTCGCCTGCGGCGCTTAAAAAGTGAATTTTTTTCTCCTACGACCTTAGAAATTCTCAAAATTTTCGCCTGCGGCGCTGAAAAAGTGGATTTTTTAGGCCTTCGGCCTTAGAAATTCTCAAAATTTTCGCCTGCGGCGCTGAAAAGTGGATTTTTTCGGCCTCTTAATCTCCAGTTTATCCTCCAATCTCCTTAAATCCTCCGTTATCACTCATAATCCTCTTATAACCCAGATATCACCAAAAATATCCCCAGATATCCTTTTAAATCCATTAATCCCTTCACATCCTCTAATCTCCCCGTTAAAATTTTTTATGTGAAAATCCCGAACTCCCGTTGGATCCTGCTAAATTTTAGAACGGGATTATCGGAATTACGGGATTAATCCCGCGTATCCTGTCCCGTAAAAAATTTTGAAAAAAATCCCGTTACTGGATACCGTGAATGCGCACACTAAATGATTTTTTAAATTAGGCTACTCCCACAATGACATCCGTGTCGAGTGTTTTGTTGAGTGTTTTGTCGAGTGTCAAGCGCACACTCCCACAATACTCCGTGTTTTGTCGAGTGTCAAGTGTTCCGTGCTGGCATCCGTGCGTGCGTCCGTGTCATGTGCACCCTCCTACAATGACATCCGTGTCAAGTGTTGAGTGTTTTAACTTTCAAAAAAATCTTGAAAAGCACTTGATCAACACTTGACACGGACGACTATCAAGTGTTAGCAGTACGTATCCTTCCTATGTACATTGAAATAAAAAAGGCACGGACCATAACACTTGACACTCAACGCTCAACACTCGACACGGATCAATTGAGGGAGTAGTGTTATGCCTTTATTTGTTAAAATTGATAAATCCTTTCATATTCAAAAATTTAAAAATTTGGAACTAGAACTAGCTTGGAACTAGTTCCAGAACTGGAACTGGAACTAAGGAATTTCAAAAATGGAGTTCCGGAACCGGAACTGGAACTACTAAAATTAAAAACCTGGTTCCGGAACCGGAACTGGAACTACTAAAATTAAAAACTTAGTTCTGGAACTGGAACTAGTTCCAAAGAAATTTTGGAACTTTGACATCACTGGTGATGAGTGTCTCTTAGAATCACACAATAACTCTGAGATTGTGTGATCTGACTACATAATTTTTTACTCAAAATATTAAATTGCCTTTATGCTGTGTTGGTGTGGCATATTTATTATAGCGATTTTCGTCTTCCAAACGAGCAATAAAATCTTTAATTAATAAAATACATAATCCATTTTATTCAAGGTTATCTGACATTACTAATTATCAGATAAATTTAGCATCAACCCAAAGAGGTCAAAATGAGATAGGCGTTAAAATGAGATATAGAGCCTATAGAAGAGTATGGCTCTAATTAGGGTTTCATCCGGATTTTCGATCGGAACTAGCTAGTACGGATTTTCAATTTTCAGGTGTTTTAGGAGTTTTCAACAACCAAAGAAAAATTTTTTACCTTTAGTTATGGGTACTAATGTCGTTGGTCTTTCATCATTAGGACCTCCATATACTGTATTCGATATAAATAAAAGTATAAATGATGGAATTAATTTAGATTTGAGCAAAATTTTTGGAATAAATATTAATTGCATTTTTAGACTAAAATTTTTAAAATTTGTTAATCAAACAGAGTTCGGTTGTATGTTCACCCATATTCACGTGCAATCTTGTAGTTAAACATTTTTAGGTTGATTGATTACAGGGTAAGGAGCTCTGGCTACTAGAGATCGGACCAACGGCAAAATCAAGTATTTGATCAAGTATAAATTTTTTTTAAAAATTTTGGAATACATAAAAATCGGAGTATTTGAGAGTATATTGGGGATGTTAGGATATAGAATGATATTGGAGGATTAAGGTGGAAGTGGAGGGAGTAAGGGTGCTACAAGGCAATTGGAAGGATCAAGGGGAATATTAGGGGATTTGGAGAGATTAAGAAGCTATGAGGTGTATAGGGATATCAGGTGATATCGGATAACACTCGTATTCCAAACTTGGTGATATAAGGATATGGAGATATAAGGATATAAGGATATTGGGGATATAAGTATATGGAGATGATATTGGAAAATTAGAATTGATGTGGAGAGATTCAGGGTGATATATAAGGGAATCGTAAGGATCAAGGGGAATATTAGGGAGGGGATTTGGAAAGATTAAGAGGCTTGAAGGGATATAGGGATATCAGGTGATATAGGGATAACACTCTTATTCCAAACTTCTTATTTTATGAGCATATTCAATGAGCTAATAAATATAAACTAAAATGGATAATCTGAGGCTTTGTGGCTGAATTGGGGTTAAAATAAAAATAAAATTTCATAAAATTTTTGTGTGAAAGGAAAATTTCTAAAAAAGTTTGATGAATTTTTGTGCAAAAATAAATTTTAATTATTTATAGAATTTTCTCACTCAAAAAAAATTTCTAATATTTATAGTTTTAAGAATCTTAGTTTGAGTAAACAAAAGTGATTTATGTTTTAAATTAAAGCAAAAAATTGTGTTTTTGTAATTTAAAATATTTAATTGTCAACAAGACTAAATTAAAATTAAAAAATAAAGGGAATGAATCATAATAACAAAATAAAATTTAAAAAATTTTTAAAACAAATAAATACAGCCGGACCTAACTATATTCTCTGTAATCTCGCGCATAAAAAATTGACATATGAATGGGAGTGACTTATAGATTGATGTCACATTAGGCGAGAGTATTTGAGCTTATACATATGAATAAATTCGAAAATTATAGAAAGAAATCAGACGTTGAGGGTAACATTCAGGTTTGGTGAAGTGATTGGTATTTATTCGAAATATAGTAACCGATATACTAACTTAAATTTAAGTTACTAGATTGGACCTTGGGTAAATGAATGTTAAGGATAAAATGATACTATGAAGAAGATATATGAAATCGGAAATCTGAGGGTAAAAAAATAATTCAAAAATAATAAGAAAATTCAAAAAATTCTAAGTTAAAAAATTGCAAATTGCCTAATTTGTCCCATAATTATACGCAGGTCAAGACAGTTTCTTATGATCAGAATCCGCTATTTTTAGAATCCACTATTCCAGGTATTTCTCCCAAACTATTATACCAAAGCCATAGATTTGAGGAATATTCTTCAAAGTTTAAAATAGCATCATATCGCGAAAATACTGTAACAGGATCTAAGTTATTTTTTAAATTCAAAAACACATTAATTTAAAAAATAGACAAAAAATAAAGTAAACAAATTTTAAAAATGATGAAAATATTCGGGAAGGTATTTGAGGTAATTCGAGATGGTCACATGCTCGAAAAAGTTCACATTAGGTCAACAAAAATTTGAGCGGTAAATTAAAGTAATGAGAGCTTGAGGGAGTTATTAAGTGTGGGAATATTGAAATTTAAGTAAATGAAAAAATTTTTTTAATTTTCAGAAAATAATTTTTTGCATTTTAAATTATTAGATGATGATATAAAAAATAAAATTTTGAAATAATCCAAAAATTGGATTAAATTGGAATTTTTTGAAAAGGATTAATGATTAATTTAATAAAAAAAGAGCAAATCCGTTAATATTAAAAAATCTGGTAAACTTGTTCTAATAATGAGGTTAATTAAATAGGATTAAGGTTGACGTACACTGGGAATAGCGGATAGATCCTGATCCGAATACGGATATCCAGATCCGATAACACTATTATAGTCCGGGCCGAGTCGAGGTCTCGTACAGAGATATGGATATCGATATTTTTGTGATATCGTTATCAATTCTACCTAGGTGGAAGCTCTATTTAACGTAGTATACTTAAATTTGTCCCAGAACTTCCCCTTGAACATGGCGAAATTGTACCGAGGGGTGGCGAGATAGAGAGATTTCACTAAATCCCAATAATAAAGATGCTTAAATATAGTGTGTTTTTAACAATAATTTAAAATTTGTAGAGCTTAATATTTAAATCCCACAGCAAATAATTAATTATTAAATACAAATATTAAAAAATAAATATAATATTTGCTAATATTTTTCAATAACCTTTTTATTAATAAATTTTAATTAAATATGGTTCTAAAAATATAATAAAATAAAATTTTTCACTAATAATAAATTTGATAAATTTTAAAAATTATTCCTACATTAAATATTTGTTTAAAAAATTATTAATTAAAAAATATTTTATTCTGATCTTTGTTCATTTTTTAGCCAAACTTTTTTATTCGCAACTGACAGCAATAAAAGCGTTCCTTTTTAGGCTTTAAAAAATGAACAAAAATTAGTACCTTTAGGCTTTCCTTTCATTTTTGGAAACTGTCAAATAAACTCAAAAAAAAGTTGTCAATTGCATCTGGCAGAAAAGAGGGAAAGGTAAGGGAGAGAAGGGAAGGGGTAGAAGGAAGGAGGGAGAGAAGGGGAGTGAAAAGGAGGAAAATTGTGTTTTAAATTATTTTGCTCCTGCTGCGCATTCTTCAAAATTTTTTAATATTTCGTTAATTGTTCCCAGGAATATTGACCAAAAAAATTAAATTGAATAAGAGAGGTATTAGTTAAGTTTCTCTCTCTCACTCGAAAGAGGTGCAGCCTAATCATGATAAAACGTCACCCTTCTGGGACCGAATTGAGACGACTAAGCTTAAAAAGAGTCTTCCTATAGAGAGTTATAGCTCTCTAAATTATATCCCTCGTTACCGAATTGAGATGACGTATTAATGGGACATGCTTACAGTGAAAGATGCTATAGAGATTGGACTATATGTGAAAAATATGAGCTTTAAGTCAAATATTTATCGCTAAGGCACATTCTCGTGACCGAAATTATGCTGACGTATTAAAGAGAGATACGTACTTAATCTTGTTAATCTCCATACTAACACCCAACTATCCATCTAGATACAACTACTGGTTCGCAGGACCCTTCGATGCTTAATATTCAGATACCAAAATGTCCTGCTTTAAGCTTCCAAGAAACAAAATCATTATTAAAAAAATATTATTATTCGTATTACAAAATATTTTTAAAATCAATTTTTGGTTCAAAGATTCAAAAAAATACTCGAAAAAAAAGAAAAACACTTCAAATAATTGACAGCCGTCCCTTTTTTATTTAAAAATTTACAAGCCTAAGGCCTATGTACATAAATGTTTAAATGCAAATTATGAAAAATGACGGGTTGCTTTATTGCCCAGCCTAAGGGAACGCAGCAGGGAATAAATAAAATAAATGAAAAAAAGGTCGAGTGTCAATAGTAGTGGGTTAAAAACTGCGGGTGGAAACAAATTAAACAGAAAAATAAAAAAATAAATAAAATATTTAGAACAGATAAAAATGAAACTTTAAAAGCAACTAATAATTATAAATCACCATAAAATTTTTAAAATTTTATCAATGTTTTGAGGTCGGATTCGACTGAAATTTTTTATCAGAGAATCTTCTTAGTCTTAAAAACATGATTACATAAAGGAATTTCAACTTTAAAAAAATATTAGAAAAATATTTTAAAATTTATGTGAAAAATGGGTGCTTCATAATTATAAATGCAATGAATTACGTACTAAATTAAAAATTTTTAAGAACCAAAAATTTCCTTTTAAGCTATATGAAAGCCGATAAAATTTTCTACAAGCTACAAAAAACTTATACAGTGTATCCGGAAATGATATAACCACCCAAATTTTCAAGTGTAAATCGTTTTCAATTTGTCTTATTTTCATAAAATTTTGACACAATATTTTTAATACCATTTATAGTGCCTATGCAAAATTGGAGAAAATATCATTTAGCTATAGAGACCGCTAGACCCTCAACCCTCAATTTAATATTGAGCATAAAAAAACGAAACATCAAAAAACTTGGATATTATTTAAAAATTATTTTTCGTGTCTTGTTTCAAAAATTAAAAAGCGTGTTAGTTTGGTTATTCATATTTACATAAATTTTAAATTAAGCTTAATACAAGAAAAAATATTTTTAAGCTTATTTAGCCTTCAAAATAAAATTAAAAATTAAATTATAAAAAAATAAAAAATAATAATTTTATTTATTTGGAGTCGGAAACAAAATTTTATTTTAAAAATGGAGAGAAAATAATGGAGAAAATAATAAAGAAAATAATGAGAATTTGAATTACTAGAAAATTTATAGAAAAAATATTGACGCAAATATTGTACCCAAACATATGCTTGTTATTAAAGCCATGAGAAAAATTTTATTTTAATTATTAGCCCAAAAATTTTTTATGTTTAACAATGAATAAATTAATTGTTTTAAATGTTTCTTTTATTTAATTATTATAATTAATTGGTGTAAATTTAAAAATAGGGGAGCATGGAAAAGCAAAGGTGGGCTAGGCCTTATACTAAATGGAGATTAACTTGCCAGGGGTGTGCTGAAACTGAATTAAAAATGAAAGCGAAACAAGAAAGCAAAAATGCGTAATTATAAATGAAAACTCGAAAATAGAGAATGTGAAAAGCAAAACAAACTTAAAAGGCGTAACATATAAAACTGATTCTAAATAACGAAACACATAAACCTTAAGAGGCTTAACACGTTAACGCCACTAGCGTTAAGAGGCGAAAACGAAAGGAGATATTCGTAAATTAATTTGAAAACGACGCGAAAGGCTAAAATTCAAATAAATGAAACGGCACGGTGACGAACCTGGTTATCGTTCTACTAAGACTAAACTTTAATTTTAAATGTAAAAATATGGCAATTTTATCCATTATTCTCTACATTTAGTATTTATTTTTTTAATATTTTCTCCGAAACAATTATGTCCAAAGACCTAAAACTCAACAAAAAATTTATTTTATTGTTATTTCTCAATTTATTGACCAATTTTTTTGTAAAATTATAGAAAGGAGAACAATTATTTGTTAGAGGAATTTAAAAAAAATTTTGGTTTAAGCGGAACGCTTTTTCAAAAAGGAATTAGATTTTAATAAAATAAAAATTGAAAAAATATGTGTTTTTTAGATGAATAAAATCTCCAAAAAATTTTTCAAAATAAATTTCATCAGCAGAAAATTTTTTTATTTTCAAAGAAAATTCAAAAAAAAAATTCAGAAAATTTTTTTAATCTTCAAAAAAATTTTTTTTAATTTTCAAAACAAAATTTCAAAAAAATCTTTAAAAAAATTTTTTTAGAAAAATTTATAAAAAATTTTAAAAAATAGATAAAATAATTTTTTATCAAAAAATATACTTTTTAAACATTTAAAATTTTGTTTTGGTGCATTTAAAATTAAATTTAAAAAATGTTTTATTAAAGTAAAGCCTAGCTTTGTTGCTTAATTTGGGAAGGACGGGAATATGGTGTATAATTTAATTTTCAAGGAAAAGATATTTTTTTAAAAATAAACAAAATCTCGAGGAATATTTAAAATAAATTTTAAAAATTTCCAAGATGGATTTACATATTTTAGAAAAATATTAAAAAATATAATTAATTAGGGTTGCCAAAATGGCCCGACTCGGGCAGAAAGAAGTCGGGCCAAAGATATACGACCCGAAAAAAGACTCGTACCGGCCCGACTCGATAAAAACGAACCCGAAAAAAATGTCTCGACCGTCAGAGAGAGTCGAGTCAGAAGTTTCGAGAGAGTCTCTCGAGAGAGTCTCTGAGAGAGAGCTCTCGAGAGAGTTTCTGGGAGAGAGTCTCTGAGAGAGTCTCTGAGAGAGAGTCTCTCTCTCATAAAAACGAGCCCGAAAAAATGTCTTGACCGTCGGAGAGAGACGAGTCTCGATAGAGTCTCTCAACTCGTCCCTCGAGAGTGCCTCTGGGAGAGAGTCTCTCCTTCTCATAAAAACGAACCCGAAAAAAATCTCTTGACAGTCGGCCCGACTCGAAACGGCAACTCTATATTTATTATTAAAATAGTAAAGCAAAAATAAAATGACCGGAAGTACATTTCCTTGCAGAAACCAATTAATTTAGCAGCCTAATCGCTTAGAAACGATTTCAAATAAATTTATTTAGTTTAAACTAAATCTCGGAAAAATAAGCTAGCTAGCTTTAAAAGTGATTTATTGCATTAATCTCTCTACTTTGTTTCTCCTATTGTTTTCAGGCAAAGTAAAGAAATAATTTTTTATATGTATATTAAGTAAAATTTCGATTTTAAACAAGTGTTGATTTACTAAAAATTAATGAAAATATTTTAAAATAATTTAATTAAAAATTTAAATTTCTCTTCATTTTTGTAATAATTCACATTGAAATTTATTTAATGGGTTTGGTGTGTATGGAGCACAGCAGCATCGGCACGTTGACCCAGATTCTGTTGCTTCTTCTTCACAATTTAGCATGCTCATACCATTGATGAAATCTTTCTAAAAATTATTTTTAAAAACCCCTATGTACATTACAAAAGAAGCTCTTTAAGATGATGCCGTCCCTCTAACCCAAGCAAAATTTTCCACAGAATAGAAAGTCCCTGTTATCGAAGAGTATGTATCTAAAGGTTCAACACACAATATCTAAGGGTGTGTAAGAATAGAGTGATAAATGAGAGTTATTGAGCGAAGATAAGAGGGTATATAACGGATATATAAGGAGTATAGGAAGTGATATAATTGCGGATATAGATTATAATATAGGGATAGATGATCAGTTGAAAAAGACAGAAAACATTTAAAAATCACCATAGAATCGCTGACATTAGGGAGATTAATTAAATTATTTGGCCATAACCTGCATCCCCGATCTTGACTAAATTTGTATTTACATGAGGTAACTTGATCAAATTCCATGCAACGCCTTTCGGCTACAAACAATGCATTTATAGAGCTTTTAAAGTCGGTCCTTTAAATTTTTAAGTTGATCATTTTATATTGAAGAAACAAACAACCTTCTATTACATTTCCTTCCGCAGCTGTGTTGGTAGCTGGAAATTATTTGGAATTTTTTTAGAAAAATATTTAAGTGAGGGAAGGTTCAGCTTAAAAGTTATTATACAGTTATATGTGAAAGTTGGAGATATAAATTTATAATTTATTGCTTCCTGATTTCGAATAGAAGCTTTCAAATCTAATTACTTGGATCATGACATTTATTATGTAGATTATATGTGACTATACTTCATCAGGAAACATCTGCCAGTGAATTAACCAATAGTTTTTTAAACTAGGACCAAAAGCGACTCATTTTTGTGCTCACTCTCAAAAAATCTATCTTAATCCTCCTTCCTCTACTCCCTACATTAGTACCTTAGAATCACCTGTCAATTCACATTTTTTTCTCCAACTACAGTTTCTAACCACTACAACAGTTTCATAGATCACAAATTTATTAATCACCTGCAAAATCCACAAGGTTCCTCATCAATAAGTAATTCCTTGAAATAATCCAAAACATTATTCAAAGCTTCGCCCCAACGTTCTCGAAGCAATTTGAAAAACATGTGGTTTCTACAGCCCTTCCTCCCTGGAAGTAATTGATCAAAATATGAGCGTTGCCATAGTGGATTTGAGCCTTTTACCCATATACCTTTAATTTAATTTCAAAGAATTTTTATAAAAAAACAAACAAGGTCCCCAATCACCCCACTCCAAGCAATTTTCTGTCTGGTTTGCATTGCCAAGCATTGAAACAATTTGTGGGTGAACTTGATGATAATAATAATTATTTTGAAAACAAGACTTAAGTAAGGGAGAGCTAGGGATATAAGTAAGGGAGAGCTAGGGATATAAGTAAGGGAGAGCTAGGGATAGGCATCAGTACTGCTACCTCACCAATCCTGCCTAGGATCTGCTCCCACGCCTTCCTTTTACCTTAATTCTTGTTTAAACCTAGGCCCAATAAGCGTTTTAACAGCTCCAACTCTTCCTTACATTATTACTTGAATTGAAGTCATGTTTACCTTCATAATAATTTAAAAAAATTAAAATAAATAATATTAGCATGGTATATGATTTCATTTTATTTAGAGGTTTAAAATAATATTAATTAAATTCTTGATTTAAATGAATTCATTTATTACCGGGTTATCACAAAATTCCCAAAATTGAAATCAGTTTTTCGTCATAATCTAAACCAGTTTGCGCATATGTAAAATCAAATTGCTTTAGACTTGCTGGATTTTAAATTTCATTGAATAATGATTAAAACGGGTTTATTAACTATCATCTTTAAATAAATTAAATTTTTGAATTTTAAAATTATTCAAAATTCTGCTGTAAATATGAACTTGTAGACAGAGGCACAGAAAGTTTAGAGCCCTTTCTTTTGGTTCCGGTTTTCTTCTCTCCCTCATCGTTTAGTGATTATTTGGCATGAAATTCCAAAACATTTTAGATCCCGGCACGCTCCACTATCACTCATCTCCTAATCACCTATTTAATAAATTAACTTCTCCGTCTTATATTGACTACCGTATATTAAAAACCGAATTAAAATTTTAACTCTCTCATATTGGCAGGCCGAAACTTGCGGACCGACTTTTGCGGACCGAAACTTGGGAACCCGACGAATTTCTCAAAACATAGCTCATTCGAAAGAGCTCGACGAGCTGAGTCGATTGACATCAAAATCATCGTGATTGTACAAGCTTTGCCAAAGTTACGATAGAAAAACAAAAACCTAAACCCTTGGTCCGCAAAAGTCGGTCCGCAAGTTTCGCACTACCCTCATATTGACATAATATAAGTAGATTGATCATTTAGCTTAATCTCCCTCACTTTATTAAAAATATTAAAGGTGTTTATTTCCGATTAATCCAAATAAAAAATTAAAATGATTAATATCTTCGGAATTTTCTAATATTTTAAATATTTATTTTGTTTACTTGGAATAATTAAAATATTTTATTAATGCTCATATTTTCTTTATTTTATAGCGATAAAACATCGCACATGGAACGATCAAAGAAAATTGAATAATAAATTATGCACATCCTTTCCAATAAATAAATATATCCCTTTCAACCTTGTCTTTGCATAAATCTAGAAATATTTGAAAATAAATTGTCTGGTCTTGCCGATTATATTTTAAAATTTAAATAGTGCATAAGTGCATTTTTCTATTTTATTTAAAATAAATTTGCAAAATAAAAGCCCTCGGCAGTTATATTTTAAAATTATTATTTGATTTAGAGGACTGTGACTTAGGCCTGAAATTACAGGATTTTTCGGGTAATGTGTGTGTTTCACACATACATAATGCCCAGTGTTTCACAAATACATTTAGAGTGTTCTTATCCTTGATGGAGGCTTTATTTCATATTTTTGTGTTAATTTAACTGTCATGATCAATGTTCGACTCATAGATCTAGAATTAACTAAGCTCTATTTTTTTGGTATCATCTTCATGGTTCAAGATGAATCTTCTGCCCATCCAACTAGAGGGTTCTTATCTTGGAGGGAGGCTTCTTTTTATTATTTTTTGGATCATTTTCAAGGTCAATCTCAATGTTCTGCATGCGTTCAGCCCATCAAACCTAACTAGGACCTTCTTTTAATTAATTACCTCTAGAAGGGTTCTTATCTTTGTTGGATGCCTTTTGTCCATTTTATCGTTCTCATTTAAATTTTTTTCAAAATTCCATCCCAAAAAAATATTTTTTAATGAGGCGGACGTGCATTATATCCTTAGAACACTCACATTTCATCGCGCGTAAACTGCAACTATTCGTCTAAAACGCGTTTATTTGTTTTTGTTTTTTTAGTTTTTAGTTGTTTATTGTTCAAAGGCGACAAGCAAGTCTGCCAGATAAATTTTTTCTTTGAATTGCTTTGAAATAAAAATTTTTTTAGTCGTTTTATTGCCTAAAGTTATAAAAACAAAATTTTTCCAATTAATTGTTTGAAAGCTAAGCACCAGCTGGCTAGCAATTAATATGATTAAGAGGCGATTAGAGATCTATAAAACAGAAGGTATAGGAGTGTTGAGTGAAGTGCCTAGCGATTATTGGCTTTTATTGGCAATTTAGTGTTTGCGCGATGGCCAGGCTTTGTATAAGTTCTTCCGGTTTCAATTTTTGCAATTTCACGGTTCCAAAACAGTGATCGTTATGTGGTTCCGGCTCTTAGAATCATGGTTCAGATCCGCGACCTTTTAAGCACGGCTCCACCGTGCTTAACGGCTCCACCCCCCGTCCCCGGGCAAGGGAATTCCCCGGGGAACGGGAGGAGGTCTCCCCTCCCCCCCCAGAGCCTCCGTTCCTCATCCCCACACTTCGAATTCCCGCATTCCCCGTTCCCGTGCACGGGAGTCGAACACTGCCCATGGAAGTCGAAGAGTGAGAGAGAGTTAATAGAAAGGATACTGTACTGCTTATATAAGGAGAGTAGACATAATTTTTAATTAAGCTACTTTATTAGTTCCATAGGTTTTCTATGTATTTTATCTCTCGAATTATAACTTTAATTAATATTTTTTAAATTTTCCTGGCCCTTCAGTTGCTAATTTATTTATTCCCCTCTACCTACTTAATTTACTTTCACTACTATAAATTATTCCACTTCAAAACCCCTTCCAATTTTATTTATTTATTTACTATATTCCTTCCTCTTCATCATCCAACTCATCAAAAATTGCTTTTCTTGATCGCGCCGATTTCCCCTACTTAATTCGTTGCTACCCATCGTGTCCATTTCCCCTCTCTCATTAATCTCCATCAACAAGAAAATATATTCAAATAACCAGTCTTTGGAAAATTCCAATTAAACATAGAAAATTCCAAATTCCTTCCAAATATTTTGAAAATAATATTTATATTTTTTAGAGGAAAAATCAGAAATTATTTCAAAATAATTTTCCCTGAAAAATTATTTTACTTAATAAAAATATTATTTTACCTTAAGAAAAAAATTTTTCCCTTTAAGAAAATAATTATTCCCCTTAATAAAAAATTTTCCACCTAAGAAAAAATTCTTTTGGTACTTTCTTGTTATCTGCCCACATTTATATTTAACTTTTTCCTTTACTATTTTTTCTTAATATGTACAGAACGGTCAAACTTACTTTCTTCCTCAATTTTACTCTGTTTCACAGTGACATATTAAAATCCCAGATATTAATGAAGAAAAGATTAATAAAAACAAAAATTCAAATATTTTTGGGACTGAAATCAAACTAGGACATGATACGAATTTTGTTATCCGTATCCGGATATTTACGGCGGATACAGATGGATACAGGCGGATATCCGCAGGCATTTTGGTATTATCTGTATCCATATCCGTATCCATGACCAGGTCTGATTTAAATTAATGTGGTCACGAAGAAACTTGAGGAAGGAAGAAAGTCTGACCCTTCTGTACATATTAATAAAAAATAGTAAGGGAAAAGGGAGAATAAAAATGGTGCCGATAACAGTAAAGTACTAGAGATCGAGATTTTTGAAAAGCCTGGACCTTTGCTGGACACTGGAGTTTGATTTCTTGACCTGAACTGGATCCTTGGCCTGTAGTCCAGGAAAAACCCAGGCCTTGTTTCTGGTCCAACTAGATCTTTAGAAAGTTCCATTTTTCCTTTGGCGAAAAATTTTTTCTTTAAAAAATAATTATTTGTTAAGGAAAAAATTTATTTTTAAATTTTCCCATTCTTAAAAAAATATTTTTTTATTTTATTTATTGAATATTTTCGTTATTTTTCTGTTTGTCAATAACACATCTAAACTACAAGTATCTCCGAAAAAAATTTTTCTTCACATTTATTTACATACTTGTAGTCCAAAGTTGAGCTCTTGTCGATCTTTAAGCTTCCTCTTTTTATTTTGAATAAATTCGAGAATAAATCGACTGACCCTCCCCCCCCTTCCCCACCCCCCAATCTTGACCTTTAAATTTTTGTGCCACCCAAATAACAATCTAGCTTAAACAATAGTTGCCTTAGCTATTCAAAAGCATAGGCTACTAAAATAAACAGCGCTTTACCTTAAGCTTTCGGGTCAACATGTTACTAAGGGACATTAAATGCATTTTTAATTTAGCGCTGACCTGTAAGCCCTCCCGCTTAGCTTAAAGAAATAAATAGGAAAAGCAGGTAAAAAGGAATAAATTTTGTGTTTTATGAAAGCTTATTGACCCCGAATTAACCCTTGTTTTTGGTGACCCAATCTAAAGTAATTGAAAAACTGACCAAAATAACCCTTACTGATATTTTTTGAAAAAAAATCTTGGAGAAAAATTCTAGTTGGAAAAAGGGAAACTAAATGAACACAGTTGAATCTCTGTGTAGGGTTTGAGTTTTCGAGTCGGGCCGACGTTCGAGTCATTTTTTCGAGCTTCAATTTTATTGAACCGACCCAACCGGGTTTTTTTCGGGCCAAAATTCGATGCCCGACGGACCGGGCCCTAACCATATACACTATCTCTGAGCCAAAATGGAGGACTCAGAACTCTTCAGCTCGGGACTCCCATCACCTGACTGGAGACTAAACAAAGCCTCTAGACTCATGAACATGAATTGTAGGCTTTTTTCAAGGCTATAAGCTCTTTAAGAAGGATAGAGGGAGATACATAGATAAATAGAGCTTCTAGGCTCTTTAAGAATGAAGGAGAGGATACATAGAGCTTATAGGCTCTTTAAGTAGGAAGGAGAGAGATAGATATAAGGCTACTGTATCCCCATAGATATCTTCTAG